ATCTATTTCCAATCCCTCTGCCATGGGCAGGGACACCTCACACTAAACCATGTCACCCAAGGCTTCGTCCAGCCTGGCTTTGAACACCGCCAGGGATGGAGCATTCACAACTTCCCTGGGCAGCCCATTCCGGTGCCTCACCACCCTCATGGTAAAGAACTTCCTCCTTATATCCAATCTAAACTTCCCCTGTTTAAGTTTTAACCCATTACCCCTTGTCCTATCACTACAGTCCCTAATGAAGAGTCCCTCCCCAGCATCCTTATAGCCCCCTTCAGATGCTGGAAGGCTGCTATGAGGTCTCCACGCAGCCTTCTCTTCTCCAGGCTGAACAGCCCCAACTTTCTCAGCCTGTCTTCATACAGGAGGTGCTCCAGTCCCCTGATCATCCTCGTGGCCCTCCTCTGGACTTGTTCCAACAGTTCCATGTCCTTTTTATGTTGAGGACACCAGAACTGCACACAATACTCCAAGTGAGGTCTCACAAGAGCAGAGTAGGGGGGCAGGATCACCTCCTACAACCTGCTGGTCACGCTCCTTTTGATGCAGCCCATGATACGGTTGGCTATCTGGGCTGTGAGCACACACTGGAGCTGGCTCATGTTCATTTTCTCATCAACCAACACCCCCAAGTCCTTCTCCACAGGGCTGCTCTGAATCTCTTCTCTGCCCAACCTGTAGCTGTGCCTGGGATTGCTCTGACCCAGGTGTAGGACCTTGCACTTGGCATGGTTAAACTTCATGAGGTTGGCATCAGCCCACCTCACAAGTGTGTCGAGGTCCCTCTGGATGGCATTCCTTCCCTCCAGGGTATCAACTGAACCACAGCTTGGTGTCATTGTTAAACTTGCTGAGAGTGCACTCAATCCCACTGTCCATGTCAGCGACAAAGATGTTGAACAAGACTGGTCCCAACACCAATCCCTGAAGGACACCACTCGTTACTGGTCTCCAGCTGGACACTGAGCCATTGACCACAACTCTTTGTGTGCGGCCATCCAGCCAGTTCTTTATCCACCGAGTGGTCCATCCATCAAATTGATGTCTCTCCAATTTAGAGACAAGGATGTTGTGTGGGACAGTGTCAGATGCTTTACACAAGTCCAGGTAGATGACATCAACTGCTCTACCCCTGTCCATCAGTTCTGTAGCCCCATCATAGAAGGCCACCAAATTGGTCAGGCAGGATTTCCCCTTACTGAAGCCATGCTGGCTGTCACCAAGCACCTTGTTGTTTTTCATGTGCCTTAGCATGCCTTCCAGGAGAATCTGCTCCAAGATTTGCCAGGCACAGAGGTGAGACTGACTGGTCTGTAATTCCACAGGTCATCCATTTTCCCCTTCTTGAAAATGGGGGTTATATTTCCCTTTTTCCAGTCATTGGGAACTTCACCTGACTGCCATGATTTCTCAGGTATGATGGCCAGCGGCTTCGCAACTTCATTCACCAGCTCCTTCAGGATCCGCAGATGGATTTCATCAGGACCCATGGACTTGTGCACGTTCAGATTTTTAAGATGGTCTCGAACCAGATTCTCTCTTACAGTGGGCCCAAGGTCTTCATTCTCACAGTCCCTGTGTCTGCCTTCCAAGACTTGGGTGGTTTGGTCAGAGCATTTGCCAGTGAAGACCGAGGCAAAGAAGTCATTCAGAATCTCAGCCTTCTCCAAATCCTGGGTAGCCAGTTGTCCTGGTAACTTCTGGAGAGGGCCCACATTGTCCCTAGTCTGTCTTTTATTTGCAATGTACCTATAGAATCCCTTCCTGTTATCTTTCACATCCCTAGCCAAGTTTAATTCTAACTGGGCCTTAGCTTTCCTAACCTGGTCCCTAGCTTCCCAGACAACATCCCTGTATTCTCCCAGGCCTCCTGTCATTGCTTCTACCTTTTATAATCCTCCACCTTTTATAAGCCTCTTTTTTCCTTTGAAGTTTCCTCAGCAGTTCCTTATCCATCCAAGGATACATATTCTGTATTAAAATCAATGTTTGTCTTAACTGTACTTGTGAAGGACCTTATTCATTCGTGCAACTCCACTGAATTCAGTGCCTAAGTGTGAGTTAAATCGCTGCTCTGCTGAAAAGTTTGCTGAACTCCAAGTGTAACAGTATGAAAAGTCAAGACTTGAATAGAATTATATATTGCTGATAGGGAGCATTTAACATGGTATCTTGACACTTATGGCTCTTTTTGAGAAAGCTGCTTGTTGAGGTTTGTCAACGCTGTGAATACTCAGAGTTCAAAGTGTAATTAAGAGCTTTTCAAATGGTTTTATACTGATAATACAAGCATATGCTAGGGCTTTCCTTATATTTTATTTCGCTCAATAACCACCATCAGGTCATATTTTAATATTAATATTATAATATATAATTCGTTTCCAAGTACATACAATTTGTAACATTGTAGATATGATTAGTATTGCTACTAAATTATTAACATGCATTGTGTTTAGAGTCTTCTCTATTCATTTCTGTATCAGAAGAAGGCTATTGATGATTTGAACAGAAAGGTAGGGAGCTGTACACCTATGAGAGGAGAATGTTAATTGCAGGAAGATTGAATTCAGGGTAGAAAATAGAAATGTTTATGAATTGGCCTATTTGCGTTTCTGTAGTGGGTGTTAGGCAAATAGTAAGAGTTATTTCAGCTGCTCTGCAGGATGTGCTAATTTATAACATTAAAAATAAAAAATGGAATATCACATATATATGTAAACAAAGGATGTATCTTTAATAGGCAGGTAGCTGGTAATTGTCTAGAAGGAATGAATTTGTAGCTTAGGGTCTTAATTTAAAGTTACTTGAATTTTTTTGTGTGGTGCATTGTGTTATGTAAGAAGAACATTCTGCTTAATGTTTTGTCTACCAAATGATTTTTAAAATGAGGTAAGGAAATTATAAACATTTGAAATTGCTTTTCTGTTTGATGCAGTGTTTCAAAAAACCTGTTGTTGTGTAACAGAACTTGCCAGATGTCAATTTTATAACTTTTATTTAGATGGGAACTTTGCCTAGCAGGACAGCCATTTCATCTTGCATGTATAGCTGTGTATGAGCTAGGAAGGAAAAAGTGAGATGACATGTAAAGAGTGAATAATGGCTTTGGACACAAGTGATGTCAAGTAACTATGTAAACGCAGTGCAGTAAATCCAAGGAACGGAGAAGATGCAACAAGTTTGCCTGGTCATCTTCCCAATGGTTGCAGTAAACGTCCACAGAAATTTAGGTTTTGATTTTCTTTCAAAGAGGTGAAGAAGTGAGGGAATAAAGCAGACATTAACAACATAGACTGATCATTTGAGTGGAAAGCATTAAAGATGGCAACTACTGCAGTGGAGGTAATTAATCAAAAGCAGGGGCTGATCTTCCACTGTTTGGGTCCAGATGCTTTAGTAAAGCCGTAACAATGATGATTTGAAATGTCTACTGTGTGAAGTAATAAATGGGACTTCCAGTAAAGGGATGGCAGTGTGCTCAGCAAGTCCAGAGAAGTGTTGGATGCTTAGTCAGTGAAGATTTTGATGCTTCATGCCCACCATCTCATAGATAGTACCCGGGTGCTTGGTCATTCTCAGTGGGAGCTGTTGAGGTTTGGAGTGTTCCTTTGTCTTAAGTCGAGAATAATTCAAGTCACCAACTTCTAACCCATGCTTCAGGGCTGATCTCAAGTTTATTCTGCCTGCTGCTGGAGAGAGAAAGATAGTGCTATAGGCAGAAAGGATTAGATCATTAGTTCATTAGTTCTGAACAATTAGCAGAAAACACCATACATGCTGTCCAGGTGCTATAGTGGACTATTCATTTAACTCCACAGACACATCACCAATATTACAAACTACAGTTTATTTCCTGGGCAATTTAGAAGTATAAAAAAGCTTTAATTGCAGATGTTCTGCATATTTTTCCTTCAGTAAAAGCTGATGGGTCAGAGGAATAGCTAAGGATTAAGAGGAGCTTTTAGATTGTGAAAGAAATGCTTTTTAAAGTTGGCTGTATTCAAGTGATTATATGCCATAAATTTTAAGGAAGTGGACTTAATTTTTAAATGAAAGAAGGTGGTTTAGGAATAAGGGGAAAAAGGAAGCTTAGTAAAATTTAGCTGTTTTGTGATGAACTTCTCCAGAAGCCAATGCTGTAGCACCTATAGCAAACCAGGGAGAAATCTAAACATGTCATTTTAAATAAGTTTATGTGCTTCTGAAACTGAACTGTCAGACTGAATCCTTCTCAAATCTGAAACACATTTCTTTGAAAGTCTTTGGTTGAAGAACAGCTGAAGCAGCTCTGCAACACTATTAAACTACGAAGTTTGCAAGATAGTCCTTTAGCACTGCTAACAGAGTTTTCCTGCATGTAACATCTGTCATACTCGTCTCAGAGAAAGATAGGATTCCTGTTTCCATCTAGTATCATATATTGAAATGTTACTCTTCCTATTTAAATTTTATATTTTGTTTCCACTTAGGACAATTAAAGGCTGCTAAACAAAACTCCAAACACCTTTTTTAATAATTTAAAATTACACCATTAAATGCAAATTTACCTTTTAAACAGCATCACCACTAAATGCAAATAACATGTCTACATGTTGGTGATGGATTATTATTGAATAAACATAAGGTCTTCTTTATATGTGTTTTATATTCTAGTAGTACAAGTCTAGCAATTAGTTTAGTATTTTGTGTAATATCTTAGACTTTTAAACACAGCCATGACTTCTAGAAAGTGGTGTCAAGGAGCAAAGCAGAGACAGGCTGAATTAATCCACCTCTGTGGCCTATAAACATAGAAATATAAAGGTTTATTTTGTGCAAACCCACGGTTTCTGATTTGGGGTTTTTACCTTCCTGACAGGTGCTTTATTAAGTGTATCTCATAATTTTACATGAGAATATCAGCCAGTGCAGTGACAAGTGAAGGCATTCAGCACCTTGCAAAATTCAATCTGTCACTGCATGCTCTAGTAATGAAATTTATTTTCTTTTTGGGTTTGCAGGCAGGAGCTTCCCAGGTCATCTTCACTAATCCTCTGGAGATAGTAAAGATTCGGTTGCAGGTAGCAGGAGAAATCACTACAGGACCCAGAGTCAGTGCCATCTCTGTTATAAAAGATTTGGGCCTTCTTGGCCTTTATAAGGTATGTATTTATTTCTGCTTTGAGTGGCTTCATCATTTTATGGTTTATGCTAAACTTTTCCGTTGTTGAAACAAAGTCTGTTTAAAACAAAGACATCTTTTGAATTTAAAACCAATCTCTTCCCGCAGGGCAGCCTTACAGTGAAAAATTGAAGAAACCCCACTTCTATATTAATGGCGGTGGGATACAAAAAAGTACTCCCCCATGCTATCCCTTGAGCTTTTATGCCAAGCTACAGGGAGTCCTGTATTGCAGACCTGCTGGCTTCTGGCACCAATCGTTTCATTTGGTGGGGTTTAGTGGAAAGTTTCTGTAGCTTTTCCCTGTGTGTTTTTCTTACATTTATTTTGAATCTATTGTTGTCTTTGCAGCAGGATATTCTCTTTGTCTTAATAATTTGATGGCAGTGAAACAGTAGTACAGTTTAGTAGGATTCAGATTTTTAAGAAGTGGTGGTATTTGTCAATAACAAATTCCACTAAAAAAAAAAAAGCCCATATTGTACTGTACTTCAGCAGAATGCCAGTCAACATCCCTGCAGGTATACTTACTACCATCATTACAGATCAGATGTAATGGAGCAGAAGCTATTAGTTTTCTTAAACAAGGAAGAGTATTTCTTCCTACATCTTCTGCCAGTGCAAGGGGTAATACGTAAATTCTGCAGCTGTAGTAGCTGTGCACTTACGAAACATTGTTTTACGTGATCTGTCCATAGACCTGCAATAATGCTATAAAAATGTGCAAATTTACTTTTAGAGCTGAAGTTTTTGTTTTGAATTCAGTAGATGAGATTCAGGGCCATTAAAATTCCTAAAGATCACAGGTATTTTGGTACATGGGACAAAATTACCATTTCCGTTTGTAGTAATTAATCAATTGAGCTTATTGAAAATGATGCTGTTCTTCAGAATTCTCATTTGTGAATAACTGTAAGAACTCATTTTGGAGCATTAAGTATCTGTATGAAAATGATTGAAGAAAGAAGGTCTGTTTAAACCACAAAGGGTTTGTATGTAATGTGTGCTGTCTGTTAATGTAACTGATGGGGGACTGGCCTCAGGTGGCTCTATTGCATAGAGGCTGATGCTTGGAGTATACCATGAGGATATTTAGGCAAGGAGTGGCATTTTTGTAACATGCATGTTTTCAGGGTATGCAAAAGAGATTTTTTTTTTACATGTGATGGCTCATTTGAGCTTTGTATAGAAGGAGTTATTTTAGTTGGTAACAGACTGATGACTGAAGTTAAGAGTATTAGATATGTTTCATTCCAAGTATTCCAGTGTTTTTACAGCACACAGAGCTCTATTAAGGAACTCTTTAATGCCAGTTTGTGTCTAAGAGCTACTCCTTGCAGTACTATCATGGCCACTAGTTTTGCCTTCCTGTACCTTCCACTTACTAAACAGCTCCCATTTTGCAGCAGTTTCCCTCTATTTGCTAACCTTCCACTGCAGCTTCTTCAGTCAACCAGATGACTATCAGTGGAGACCAGTATGAGGTCTTACAGTACTCACTGATATTTTAGTAGTGCTTTTGTGTTTCGTGGAAAAAATGGCATGCAAAGGCTTGTCTTGCTGCTTCTGAGATTGTGGGTTGTCAGCAAGATGTAAGGACAGACGTTTGTCACTTTCTTCATCACACTTGGATCATACGTAAAAGATACTTATTCTAGGTACTGATGTCAGGATTGATGTCATGTGTTGAGTACTGAAATTAGACACGAACCTTGAATCTTCCTCATTCTAGAAACTTACTGTAGATGTACTTTATTCTTTTTCAAGTGCAACCCTACATCTTCTGTTTCCTGAGGGATTTTATTTGCTGTGTTATTTACCTGGTATATCAAAGAGTTGGTACTTGTGGGCTCAGACTGCTTGCTGGGTATCAATTCTAACCTTATTTATAAAATTTATCTGTATTGTGTCTCTGTTCTGTGTGACAGGGTGCCAAAGCATGTTTCCTCAGAGACATTCCCTTTTCTGCAATCTACTTTCCTGTTTATGCTCACAGTAAACTGATGCTTGCTGATGAAAATGGCCATGTGGGAGGACTTAATCTCCTTACAGCTGGAGCCATTGCAGGTAATTTTGCAGAATGTTTTCCAGAAGTACCTTTTTTTTTTCTTTTAGTGAGTAATGTTTAATATTCATTCAGTAGCCCCATATAAAGGAAGGGTACTGTACCATTGTATCTGATTTAATCTGAATTTGATCACTGTTATCCTTAGTGGGAGGCGATGTAATTTTGATGAGAGCTAATTACATTTGCATAATGTGGATAAACAGCGTAATGCAGCTCAGCAACTTGTAGTCAAATCTGATCTGTCTGTCTCAATGGGGTTTTACTTGTTACTGTGCTCTCAGAGTTGAAGACTAATTTGAATCTTTGATGAACATAAAATGAGAGATCCTAAGAGCTAGGAAGAAAATGACTTACCGAGTTTTAGAGTCCTGGATAACTGAGAAGAAACTTTGTTCAAATGTAATTGCTAAAACTAGGACATTAATTTGTCAAGAAGCTGAAGTTAAAGTATCATAATCTGAAATTTAAAATATTTTAAGGCTTCTTTTCAAAAATCTTTAGTATAAAGAGAACAGGCAGCTGTGATAAAAAGGTGGTTTTACTAAATGGCAAGTGATCTAAAAATATTAGGTGTAGGAACTGCAGTGGTGGATATATAAAAATGTGGATAGAGGTGGCTGGATTCTGCATTGCCTGGGATTAGGTCACTAGGATGAAAACCAGGCATCTGCAGCCTCTCAATCGCAAATGATTCAGTGTTGGAATCTGTGCAGTTTAGAAACATCACTGGGTTGAACAAGAACTTCTGTTACTTGTTACAGTCATAAGGAATCACTGTATATACATCAGTCATGAGCTGTCTGTGTGTAAAGAGCGCTTTCCCACACTGGACTTGATACAGAGCTTGGCTGCACCTGCTCTTTGCCAGTTGGTGCGCTCCTTGTGCCAGAGGGAAGGGAGAGACCAGCTAGGAAACTAGTCACAGATCTGTAGCCCTGTTTATTTTCAAGCAACTGAGTTACCAGAAACAGAAAATTATTTAGCTTACTGTACTCCTAGAAGCACATATAAATGTTATTATTTAACTTGTATCTCGTATCAATGTTTTTAATTTTAGATTACAGACTTCACAGCTTCTCTTCGTTTGTTTGATTAGTGTTTCTGGGTCACATGTACTAAGTGATGAACCCTATTAAAAATGTGTGTAAATCTTGTAGGCCTAGTTTTATAGTGTATACAGGAACTTGCCTTTCTGAATTGCAAATTTCAAATTCCCAGTTGTTCCATCTAGTCCTGTAATGTGTGCGCAGCAGGAAAGAATAGTCTGAATGTATCTGCTGTAAAGGAAAATAGCATATGGTTGCTATTAGTGTATGCTTGTAGGCTTAATGACATTGCTTCTGTTTTCCTTTTAAACCTCCTGAATTGGCCTGTGACACTTCAGAGTTTATGATTACCTATGCAGATCAGTGATTTGTTAAAATTTGAGTTCAATTTTAACCAATTGTAAAAGTACAACACAAGTCAGAATCAATTGCAAAGTTCTAGTCAAAAGATGGCTCCTCTTTTTAAGAGAATTAAATTTGTACAGTATTCAGAAATACCTCAGATATCAGAGTTACATACTGTGGAGTACACTTCTGAAAACTTTCTCCTTTCCTCTGACTAGAAAGCTGAGAGTGGTGCCTTGGAAGCGGAGAGTTGTTCTTCCATCAGTGTTGGCTAGTATCATGTAGTTGGTACTAAGCAGGCTTGTAAAATACCTTCATTGTCCTCAGTCTTTTTATGGCTTGCCTATTGAAGTAAGCAGCATCTGTTCTCCTACGAACAGTGCAAACAGCAGTACAGATGTATTTCTGCAGAATAGATGGTTTAAGTAGCAGCTTTCTTATTAATAGATGCGTGCGTGTAGTATTCAATTTCCCAGATCAATCATCCACTTAATTTGCAAAACATGTTGTAGAGCTTTAAGAAATGCAATAAGGTTGCACAACTAATTTTTGTTATGGATATCTCTTATTACAGGTATAGCATGAGTGAACTTAAAAATGCCTCTCGTCTTTTTGAAACTGTTAATGACAGCCCACTAGAAGGTGTTGAGAGAATTGCTGTTAATTATTGTTTTCTTTACTATCAGTTATAGCCTTTAAATTTAGAAGAAACAGAATGATTGTATCAAGCACAACAGTTTATATTGTCATCAAGTGTAAGAACTTGCATTTTTAGTAAAGCCTATTTTTTTTTGGAAAAAAAAAGTTAAAGTTTGTAGTTGCATTTTTCAGAAGTGTTTCCTCTCACAAGCGTCTTTGTGCAAATTAAATGTGGTTTTCTTCTAAAAGGTGTGCCTGCTGCTTCTTTGGTAACCCCTGCTGATGTCATCAAGACAAGACTGCAAGTGGCAGCTCGCGCTGGTCAGACAACATACAGTGGAGTTATTGACTGCTTTCGAAAGATTCTACAGGAAGAAGGTGCTTTGGCTTTTTGGAAGGGAGCTGGAGGTGAGAAACATGCTCTGAATATTAGGGCTGACCCTGGATCTGCAAAATAACCGTTTGCTTTGTTAAGGACTCAAATTAGAGCAGTATTTGCAAGGTCTGATTCAGAAAAAATCTAATGGCTTGTTAAAAATGTTCAGCTTCTCTCCTGAGAAATTCTTTTGTTTGACACTGTGATTTGTAATATTTAACAGCTCGTGTGTTCAGATCTTCGCCCCAGTTTGGTGTTACTTTGGTCACTTATGAACTTCTGCAGAGATGGCTTTATGTCGATTTTGGAGGCCTGTAAGTCAGATATTTGCTTTTTAGTTTGTACAAGAAAGCTGCGAACTTAAGAAGAATCTTACTCTTTTCCCCATGCAAGGGACCACTTAAACTTGGTGCCTTTAAGTACTTAAAGTTGCAGTATGCAAGAAATCCCCCCATCCTTATGAAATTGAGAGATAATTGCATGCTACTTCTAAACAGATGAGATGAAAACCCATCTCATTTTAATACATTAATTTGTATTTCCATTGTAGCAAAATATTTTGTCCATTTATCCCCATGTCAATGGAAGTTAACAAAATTTAACAAAGCTATTGGTAAAAATGTAACTTAAGTTTTGGCCTTGATTTCCCTTGAAGCTGTGGTCTGAACTCAACTTTACTTGACGTAGAAGTGAATTAATTAAGGTCAGCTTTAACAGCCTTCCATACTCCAACAAAAGCCTAAAGTATTTAGTCTAGATTTTATAGAGTTACCCAGGCTTAAGAAAACGCTTTAAATAAAGGAAAGGCTTTTTTTCTTCTTCTTTGTTCAAACAGCAAACCTTCTGGATCAGAACCCACCCCCAAAACTCGAATTTCAGATCTTCCTCCTGTTAACCCTGAGCACATAGGTGGATACAGACTTGCTACAGCTACATTTGCTGGAATAGAAAACAAATTTGGGTTGTACCTTCCAAAATTTCGATCTCCTGCAGTCAGCCCAGCTCAACCAAGTAGCAGCTGAATCCTGGAACCTAACAAGTGATGCAGTGGAAAAAATTCACCAGTCAGCTGCATGTTGCTCTAGCTGAACTGAGCTTGCAAATCTAATTACTCCTTTCTGATATTGATACATACCTGCATTTATTTATTTGCACACAAGGAACTGATTGAAGCTGAGGTTCTATGCCTTATTTTAACCAGCGGCATGAACCTGTAGCTTAGACTTTGCCTTGCACAGCTTGCATTTAATGTTACTGTACATATTGTACATCTTTGTACAGAGACATCATGCATCTATATCAATACCCATTTATACGAGTAATGCAGTTCAAAATAGTTTGAAATGTACAGAATGTTTTGAAGGCATTTTGTTAACAATCGTGACAATAAACTATTTAAAACCACTTCAGTCAGTTCACTGCTTTGTGTTTACAAAAAAGGTGTCCAATTGATTGCGTTATTTTTTTCCTCTCCAGATTATGGATCACATATTAAAATGTAAAGATTAGATGCACCCATTTAATGAATGTACAGCACAGGACATAGCCTCTGAAGGAACACATTTCACTGCTTATTACAGCAAAGGTATTAAAAGGCAATGCGCTGGCTTGTTAAGTGCAAGAGAAGACAGTAGTTAGATGAGCACATACAGTATTTTATTTTGCAGCAGTGCTTTGTTAACAAGGAATTCTCTCAAAATACAAGGTAATACTAGATGTGTAATAGATCCTACCCCTATGGTAGCATATTTAAAACACACTATTTGCCAGTTATTAGCAGCCTCAATAATTTTTTTTCAGGATTTACTGAGTGATTTTTCCCAAATTGAAAACTTTTTGTTAAAAAAGTTGAAGGCATTCTCTTTATTTCTAGATTGTTTTACCATTGAAAGATTAGTTTATTCTGGAAAACAGACAGGCTTTAATAGTCATCTAATATACAAAACTGATTGTTTACAGTTCCAGTTGAGCAGAAAGGAGAGAAGAAACAAAAAGCTTGAACTGTTTCTGGCTTAATGTCTGCCAAAAGTTTATATGGTGTAGTTTTCAAATGCAAAGGTGTCACAGGAAATAGGGGAGTCTGGGTTTCTACAGCCAGAGGAAAAGCAGCTAATAGTACACCTACTGCCAGAGAAGAGAGAGGGGGGTTGCCAACCTTGCTTACTGAAGTATGACAACCTCCCATCTTTAGTTCTACATGTTTCTTTCGGGGTCAAACATCCTGCAGTACAGTGTGTCCCGGCGGTATGAACTGACCTGAGGTTGTTATTTTCTTGCTGAGGTGACAGCAGGCCAACATGAAGAGCTTTAATCAGCTTATGAAGAAAGGCCTCCTTAAAAAATGAACACTGCAAGTACAGACAAGCCCTCCTTCAGTTGTAGCCTCTAAGCAAGACACAAATTTGGTGCTATTTAGTGAGCTAGAGGTTACAGTATGTTAAACTTGGGAGTTTGATCACTAGTCTGCATCATGCATACATATGTACAAATATGTATGTGTGTGTATTTATATGTATAACACCATTAGAAGGCTTCCTGTCCTTATTTGGATTTATTTTTTCCTGTTCAGGTTAAAGAATTACCTGTTCTGTGCCGTTTTCTAGACAGAGACAGGCTTCCCAGGAACTCTCTCCTGTATCTACGTTTTATTCTGCACTTTTCTAAGTTGGATACAAAAATGGCAGGTACCCACCACTGGCCTTTCATCTTAGTCACAGCTTGTTAACTGACTTCATCGAGGCCTTAGGAGACTTTAGAATGCAAGACAGCATTTGTATTTCTTATAGCTCCAAAACTGGACAGTGCGGCTCCCAGGATAATCATTGACAGTACCTAACATCACTGTTGGTCTCCGTGTTGCAGGTGTGGGCTTTACAACGTTTTTAGCTTGTACTCAACTATTTTGTGAGGGGGGAACACAAGCAGGAATGAATACAGATTGGTACTGAAATGTAATAATTGAATATTACCAAAAGGTCAAAATTATGGAAAACTGATGCCATATGACCTATATCTTTATGCCACAATCCACGGAAAAAAAACCTTACCTACTGGATTTCTGGTAACAAACTCTGAAAGAAATGTATTTATTAATAAACGAGAAGTAACAATTTAAGTAAAAATAAAAAACCTACCCACAGCTAAGAAACCCCAACCAACTGTCCAAAACAGCAAGACAAGAATTCTTGCGCCTCAAGGGTAAAAATCATCACACGGTGGTACCTGTTCACATGTTTCTCAACTGAATAGATAGCTGCTGTCATAAGGTTGATATTTACCTAGTACGTTTCCCTCAAAGTGAACGACATGACTTTTTACTGAAGGGGGACTTTTGACAAGTCAACACCAGTGGAAGCCTAAATCTATTTCACTTTCAAGCTCAGTGAAAAAGAACCTCCTGAAACAGAACTGCTATTATTGCTGCCTGTGTCTCTGTGAGCTGCTCGCAACAGAACTGAGACAAGGAGAAGCATTAAAAGAAAACCAAACCAAACCCTAACCCCAAAACCAAACTTAAAACACACTGTAGAAACAATAAGAATACTTCTGGACCTAAAGCTGATTATGGAATATAAACCTATTTCCTACTTTTAAGCATATAAAACAGCTCTTCTGGCAAAACAATCTTGTAGCAGATTAAGAATACCAGAACCAAACTTAAAGTCCTAAATTAAAGGCATCAATATTGGTTTAGTGCCTAATTAGTACAAATCAGAATATTTACTTAACCACCTTCCCCCCCTGACCCCCCCTCAACCCAACCAAAAAAGCCCCAAACCAAACCAAAACCACCAACCTAAAAAAAACCAACCAAATAATATAATGATGTCCCCCATGAACCATAACCCCAAAACTGATCTTGATGGGAAACTTTATATATATGAGAAAGACGTACTCAAAAAAATTAATCTAAAAAAAATTGCAACCATTTTGTTTCAAGCCATTGAGAAGTTTTGTTTCAATAAAACTGTTAAAATCAATGCAGATGTCTTTATTATACTTAATGTGGAAAATCAGTAGCCAGTCTGTAGTTAACAGAATGCTAACCATGCTATAGAAATTAAGTCAAAATCTAGTTCCTTCTCGTATGGAAAAGACTGACAACAGCAGCCTTTTTCCTTTTGTCTGATTGCCAGGGTGGGAAGTGGAGGTTGGGGGTAGAAAACAGCTCTGCAGCATGTAGTAAAATGAAAGTGGCAGCTCCCAGAAACTTCCTACTCTCAAACTACTGAAGGGTCACAGATGAGGGGTCAGGGCAGCTGACAAGTGCTCATACAATATTTATTCATGAATCAGTCTCACCTTTTAATGCACCAATTCAAACAAAAGAACTGGGTATTAAATATGTATTTCATTAATTCAGGTCTAATTATCAAGTTTGGAACTACAGACAGTTTTTTATTACCATATATTACCCACTACCTTATCCATATATAAACAATGAAACTTACTTGGAACATATGCATGCTTATTATCATGGGTAATTCAAATTAAAGAATGCTTCAGAGATTAACTACCTAATGAAGGCTAGTCTTTGTAATATGGAAAGTTTAGCTTAGAAACAGAACTTTCACTTTTCATACGTACTGTTACAAAGTAGAAATTTCAGAAGCCCAATAGCAATTTTACACCAGGTTAGTGTTTCAGCAAAAGAAGGTCCTTGCAAAGTCAAGGTTAACTGTATTAAAAGTTACACAAATCCAAGCATGTGCTTGTAATTTATATATAAAAAGTGACAATCTGATTTTCAGTAATCTTAATACATTTTCAAAGTCCATAGTTGAATCCATATATCCCTCCCGTAAGCTATTACTTGAACTGACACGTGCACTTTGCATCAAATCATTCACCATTCTACCACTGCTGCCTATTGTTAGATCTACGCCGGTATGCGGGTTGCAGCTTCCTCTTCTGCATCAGCTCTGTTAGCATTTATTTCTGCCAGGGTTCGACCAAACCGAGTCCACTCATCACTGCGAGGAACGGCAATTTGCTGTTGACAAAGAGAATGTTATTTGAGCCTACTGATAAGAAGTGAGCTCATTTGGAACAGCAGAGCGCTTAAGTAACATTCAGAAGAGGTTCCACTAGAAAAGCTTATTTTCATGTAGTGTAACTTTTGAAATAGTCTGAACATCAAAAGCTCTAACTAATAAAGGAAGCTGAATTTCAGAATCCTCTATTTAAGTATGTAATGATACTCTTACAAGCTTGCATGATCAGTCTCCATCCAAGATGGATGGGATGCCTCAAAAGGGGAATACTAATGCCACATCCTCATCCAATCAATTAGTTACATACTACTGCAATACACAGACTTGCAATAGCAACAGCTTCCCTGTAGGAACAAGGTCAGGACTGCTTCACTGTAAAATGCTTTTGCTCTGCATTTCTCAAGCTGTGGTCAGAATTCACATGTCCCAGTTACAAAGAAGATTCTTCCATCTTATTTCACTAGCCTCAGAATAATACTTTTACTTTCTCAGCGGCTGCCAGATAGCATTCTAAAAAGTTATCCTACTATTTCTGGAATAGACCCCAAAAGTGAACATTAATTTGAAAATAAAAATTATACCCTATACTCCTAATCACGGGGGGGGGGGGGAATTAAAAGCAAGTTGCTAGATAAAAGTCAAAGAAACTCAAGTGTTTTGCAATGTAGGTTGCACAATACAGGGTATACATACCTCTCCCACGTCATATATAACTATTTGTCCCTCTGAATCACCAACAGCAATCTCTCTCCCAGAATGCGTCCATCTCACGCGGTTCAGCGCAGGGTTACCCTCCACAGTAATGCTTGCAGTTGGCACCTGTATCCATTTAAAACACATGGATAAAAATGCATGAGGATTCCATAAGCTACAGGTTATAGAACACTTCTAGTTCCTCAGTGTTGTATCAAAGGAAGTGCCCAACATTTCCACTGACACAGAATATGCAGATCTCATACTCTCAGTGGCCCTAAGCTGTCACCAGTGACATGACCAAAACAACACATCTTTTGTCCCTTGGCCAATGTACAGGCATCCTCTACCAGAATGCACATCTGCACTGCACTCTTGTCATGAGACATGAGGTGCTGACAGGCATTCAAACAGACAGCAAGAAGGAGCCCTGCAATCTCAAGAAAGATTATGACAGAGGGCAGAGATGAAGTCAGCTGCTTTGGCTATCCAAAGGCTAGAACCAGGTAACTCCTGTTTGAAGCCATAGGCTGGCACGGTGCTGCAGAATTGCTCTTCCTTCTAAATGCAGTTTGAAGAAGGTGAAATTTTAAGTAATCAATATCTGTCAGGTTCTTCCTCTTACCTACCTCCAAGGAGTTTAAGTCTCAGATGAGATTTATAGTATAATTAAGTTTGTAACTCACACCAGAAAACTGAATATTCACTTCTCTTAAG